TGTCTAACACACAGCTATCACCGAATGAGACAAGTGCCAACTTCTGAGTCCTGCAGGTTCTCGCATGCAAATGCAAACACACTTTTGAGTGAAAAGCCAAGGTAATTGAGTATTCTCTCAATTATTTCGCTCAGGGTTTGAGACAAGACAGCAAAGCAAAAACAGATTCAACAGTCAACCATTTGACATGATGTTGGCCTAACACGTACAATGAGTGCTAACCAATAACAGCCCGAGTGGTAAATAGGGATGTCACTATGTTTTCCGGAAGTAAGCAATGGAGTCTTATAGTCAGGGGTGCACACAACTTTCTCAGTGAGGTACTCAGATGAGTACCTGGAGTCAGTGTTTGGTACTCCAACTTCTGACGAATGTCAACGGGGGGTGGGGGGGGTGGTAGTAGAGTACAGAGCTTCGTGACCGCGGAGCGTGTGAACGTTGTGATCAGCTGTTTTAGCGCAGGGCTGCTGTACAGACAGACGTTAACAGCAGCCCTGTCTGTGCACACGGAGACCGACTCTGTCGTCCGGTGAACTAACCGCCTTCTGGAAAAGCTTCACATTTACGTCGGTACGCAAATGCGCTTTGTGACACAAGTGACGGTACGCATTTCAGATTGTTGCCGCGCATGCGTACCTGCGTACCAGTTATGTGCACCCCTGCTTATAGTGGTGTTTCAAGCAGGGGTGGGGAGTGTGTGGGAGAGAAAGGCACATGCACACAAACCTATATAAGATGCTAGAGGAAAGGGAAACCCCCAAAAAGCATATGAGGGCCCCTTTAAAATGATTATTGTGGGATATTTTAAGAGCATCTGTTTGGGCTCAGGACTTCTCTGCAGCATTACAATAATAACGTCATGATTATATTTTCACTTATTTTGCCTTTACCTTATACAGTGCTTACTGCCATTTGGATATTGCATCAGTCCACATTGCAATTTCCATAACATTTGGATGAATTGTGCTTCACAAGTCGGCACACATGCATACATGAAACAGACTAGGGACTGTGTGTAAAGCAATTAAATGGATACTGGAAAAAGAGAATGCGTAGCAAATATAGGAAGAAAGCAAAGACAGAAGGCCGGATAAAAAGGGAACCTCAACTGTACTTTTAGATAAGGCGAGAGCTGTGTAGACCTAAAGACAAAGCTACATTAAACCTGTGATCGGGCCAACACACTGAATGATGAACTGCGTGCCACATGCTGCCGCTCCAGCTTTATTATCGCCTGTGTACTCCTCACAAACTGATTATACCGCACCTCCTCTCAGCAAACTACATTTGTTCACCTATTCTTTGGGTGTGTACGTAACAGGGTGTGTGTGTAGACTATAAAACAAAAAGGAACAATTCATCTAGTCTGGGAGCTCGGCGATCTAAGAGACAAGCAGAGAGAGAGAGAAAAACAGAGCGGTGCATAACACAGACACACAGACATACAGAGCAGAGCCAGTGCATACATCACAGATTGAGGATATACAGAGAGAAGTGCTGGAGAATACACTCGCATGTTCTGGGAGGAAGTAAAGGAGGGAAGCTTTGAGAAAATCCAGCTAACATCAGAACACCTGATTAACCCTCATTCTTCCCTGCCTTCTCCAATTTCAATCAGAGAGGAAGTGAGCAGAAGCTTCTTCATTAGAAGTGTACCAATGCATTGATTCAAACTGTTTTCACATCTAAGAGACAGCTGCATCAATACATGCAGCGTTCAAATCAAAAGGTAGGAGGGAACTGAAGCTACATTATTCCTTGGTTCAATTGTAATCGTGTTGACAGGACATGTGTGTTTGTTTTATTTTAGTGCCTGATAATGTAATTTACTCCATGACTGCTCCTCTTCAAACCCACTTCATGTGTTTTCAGCTTCATCACATCTCACAGAATGTAGGATACCGATTGTTAAGACATCTCTGCAGCACCAAAATACTTATAATTTCACATGTTTAGCCTTTGAAAAATGTCTTGCTTACTGCGGTTTGGATATGGCATAAGTCCATATTATGTAATTTGATCAAACTTCCATTAATTGTGCAACTTTAAATATTGTCATCACTTATTCTGTACACTTTTATGCACACATCTAAACTCTGCAGTAACAGCAGCCTTTCTCCTACACACACACACACGCTCACTATAACTTCCCATCGCGATGTGAAATCTTTTCCGAGCAAGTCATATTCCAAAGGGCTTAAGCAGGATTCCAGTAGAGTGACAGAGTTGAGTGTCTTTACTGATTAAAGAGCACAAGACGGACAGAATCAAAAAGTGCAGCACTCTCTGCAACCCTCCAAAAAAAAAAAGCTGCGAACACAAGTGGCATTATTTATAGAGGAGCTGTATCAAAAACACACGCAGGCAGCCACACACACACACACACACCTTGTGGTATCTTGGGGGGCTGGTGGAGCGTTAAATGTTGCAGTACTTCAGTGTGACAGGAAACACTGTGTTTATGTGCTTATCGCTGCAGCCTGGACAAGAAAGGCCCTCT